ATCTAAATTGGGCTCCCTGTGCTAATACTTGCAAACATTGGATTTTATTGAAAATATGACGTCATCATAAAAATATGGCCGCCATTTTTAAAACTCCAATATTTTTGAAGGAAAAAAATATATTTGAAAAATGAAAGTTGCATTTTACTTCCGTATTAAAGGTCTATCAATCCAGGCAAAAAAAGAGCATCTCAGAAATTTGATCGTAGTGGCATTTTGATAGGTTGGGCTATCATGTATTACAACGTGTTACTAGCCTCATAATCAGGGCCGTAACCAGGGGGGAGCACAGGGTGCACTTGCACCCCCCCATAAAATCTTAAGGTCCACTCATCCATTTCCTTTTGCCTTAAAATTGCATGTAAATGTTTTTTGATTACATGAAGACCACTCTCCCTCTGCATATTATAGCATTTTTGGTTACTTTTTTCTCTCTTTTTTTTTTTTTTGGTTCAATTTGTTTTAATTTGTTTGGGCTGCAAATCATTTCCTGTGCACCTCCCCAGCAAGATCCCTGGTTACGCCCCTGATAATGCTGTTTCATACTGTTTGGCATTGGCCTTAAGACCCTATGGAGCTACCTTAAAATCAAAATTGTTAAAATCTGTGGGGGAAAAAAATTCCTGCATCGACAAAACTTGATATTTTTTATTATATTTTTGAATAATGCACAAAGACAAAAGAAAATTTTTGGTTATTTGAAGCGTGCGGTGTTTGAGATTTGTCCTACACAGCGCCATACTTTTTCTCACGTTTCATCTGTTTACTTGAAGCTATTCTTACTAAAAATAGTTCCAAGTCAAACAAATAATGAGTTAGGCATCGAGAAAACATACACAAGGACTCGTTCCTTAGGTTCTTCCATCCTCCTCTCTCGATCTAGCTAGGTTACAAGCATCCAGCTTAGTCCCTTTGTCCCTTTCTGGTTTTCTGCTATTTTTCCCTTCCTTCCTTCCTTCCTTTTTCTTTCCTTCCTTCCTTCTTTCCTTCCTTCCGTCTCTTTCTTTCTTTCTTTTTGCCTTTTTTCCTTTGCTTCCTTCCTTCCTTCCTTTTTCTTTCCTTCCTTCCTTCTTTCCTTCCTTCCGTCTCTTTCTTTCTTTCTTTTTGCCTTTTTTCCTTTGTGTCTTTGTTTCTTTTTTTGCCTTCCTTCCTTCCTTTCTTGATAATCCGAGTTGAACTGACTGTTCGACTATCTGTGTAAACGTGATGTTTGATTTTATTGATATCAAAACACTGATAATTCATATGGAAAGTATGTTAAAAGGCATGGTTATCTTCCTAAACGTCGCTATTCTCAGCAGGATAAGCTCACTTACAACCCGTAGTTTGCAAGCTCGCTAAAACAACAAGTTTGACCGAATTCAATCTGCCAAAAATTTGGCCGCGAATTAAGTCGTCGCAATTCGTGTTTTACAATTATCATAATCGATTTGTGTAAAATGAAAGGACTCCATTACGCAGGAACGAAACACAATTAAAACTTGTTTTTTCGATAAATGCGAAAGAAACGAATACTAGGTAGTTCTAGAGTTTCAAATGGAATCATAATTAATGACCGTAGATTGATTGCAAAGTACGAAGATTTTTTTCAATTATAGATGTGTTATCTGAAATTCAAGACAATATCTATACAATCTATCAGTTAGATTGGTGTTCTGGCGACATCACCCCCTAGGTTTTCAGTCATTTTGCGAAGTTAATAAGAAAGAAAAACAGAAGCTTAATAAAATAAAAGTTATTCAAAACAGGTGCTTTCGGTTATGACGTAATAGATCAACTAGGTTAGAGGCATGGGCCCGAGTTCTTGTCAAGATTCGAGTTTTTTCCGCCGAGAGAAGCGAAGACGGCGATGAAGTGAGGACCAAACGTCAGCGAATTAACCCGAATTTTAACCACTTTTAAGCCACTTTATTTAGTTCTAATTTTTACCAAAGCTTCACAGATGAATGGGTTATCGTTTTCAGAGATTTGCTGTCTGTTTTGCTGTCCTCCTTGCCCGTCGAAAATCGCTGCAAAGTTAGCGTTCCTTCCTCCCGAAGCGACCTACTCTTTTCAAGACTTGTCCGAAAGCGGAAAACAAGCGCTCCATCTTTCTGAAAAAGCCGAATGGCAATATGGACAGAAAGAGCTAGATCTAATCGAAGGTTTTACTACTAAAAGCAGCAAAGGCAACCAGATCGCCTGCATGTATATACGATGCTCGCCAACTGCTCGTTTTACGATTCTCTTCAGCCACGGGAACGCAGTCGATTTGGGGCAAATGTCAAGCTTTTATGTTGGTCTCGGGACTCGAATTAACTGTAATATTTTCTCTTACGATTATTCTGGGTATGGAGTTAGCCAAGGGAGACCTTCGGAAAAGAATTTATACAGTGATATTGATGCTGCATGGCAGGCTTTACGTACAAAATATGGAATCAGTCCTGAAAATATCATTCTGTACGGCCAAAGTATAGGAACAGTTCCAACCGTTGATTTGGCTTCTAGGTTCGAATGTGCTGGAGTTATCCTTCATTCTCCTTTAACATCGGGAATGAGGGTAGCTTTTCCCGATACCAAAAGAACTTGGTGTTTTGATGCTTTTCCAAGGTACGTCCTTCCTTGTTTTTAAATTTTTGATTTTTTTATTATTTTCCGATTTTATTTGGTTGTTGTATAATTTTTTCGACCATTTCGAACGTATTAGGATCAAAGATGGCTTTAATTTGGTTATAGGTAAATCGAACGTTCGATCATATGATTTTAGTTTATTTYATAAACCTAGAAATCTATATTTTATCGTTCAAAACTATTTTTTCGTCGATTTTGTTTGGTGGTATTCTGAAAGTATGATCAAAGATGGCTTTAATTTGGTCATCGGTAAATCGAACATTTGATCATATAAATTTGGTTTAGAATCTATATTCCATCGTTTAAAAATATTTATTCCTTATTCTACAGAATTTTAGCTATCCAACTAAGAAATGCCAAACTRAATCCCTCGATATTATTCCCGATAATGTATCATTCCTCTCTCTTTATTAGCTAGCGATCCAAAAATTCAGAACAACAAATCTGGACTCGCCCAGTTTTGAAGTCTAACTCAAACAATAAATACCCTCACACTTTTAAAAATCCTGTCATAATTGAAAATATTTTTGGTGATCTCTTCCTAACGATGAAAAATTCCAAAGACAATTTCACTTTATTTTTGCATGTTTGATAAGTTATTTCTTTCTTTTGTATTGAAATTTCGACGGGAGATTTTTTCATTTTATAATTTTACTAAAATTGCACGCAAATATTTAGTTTCTTGGACAAAATATTTTCTCATTTAATCAAATAATACTCTTTAAGATTTAAATTATACGCCTTTGCAAAACATATTTATGCATTCTGTATTGTAGGCCATTATTTGAAATTTTAAAAAAATTTAGCAATTTAAAACAAAACAAACAAAAAAATTTATATTTGACTACGTTATCTTGTTTTAAATTAACATTATTTCCTTGAAAATTTTCAAAGTATCCCCTTGAAAATTTCTGTCTCAAGTGGAATTATTTTCTAGTTATTGCATTAAAAATAACACTATGCAAATTTTGACCACTTACTCAAAACAGTTTAAAAGATAAACTTTGAAAGCTTCGTTTTACCGATTTTTAATTTATGCAAATAAAAGAGTTGATAAAATGATAATAATAATAATCTTTTATTCGTTAGAGCAGAATGATTATTTTGGCAGCTTTTGTTGATGTGGACCTGCTTTCACTCACACTCACTATATTACCACTAYGTTTACTACGGTTACACAATGCTCGACTCACATAGAACTCACAGAGATACTGGAGAAAAAAATTTCATAATTGAATATGGCATCGCYGGGCTTGAACCAGCRACCCRACCTGTTARACTGGTAAAATGATGAAGGATTAGCAGAGTATGCCACCCATTCCCAAGCATTCAATACATCTATTTTTTTACACATTTAGGGTTAATATTCATGTGATAAAGCCATGAATAAAAACCATTAAATTAAATTTTGTATCACTTCRYRGTAACATGGAAACTTTRAATTTTGTCATTTTACCAATCCTAAATGTGTTATAAGCAAATCGTTGCATATCTTTGGTTGGTATCTTTTATCACTCTTTTTCCTTCGTGATATRATACGGAAACTCGTGAATAAAAACCAGGTCAAGCTCTTAACATGTGACAACGTTCCGTGGAGTATTATAAGAAACTGAATTAACACAACTTTGATAAGATTTTTTAAGTTATTAATTTTTTTATTTGTCGTTTTAGAAATGTATATGCATAAATGCTGGTCAAGTGTTTATGCATGGTTCAAACTTAGACTAATTCAAAATATTTCTTAATGTTAATTAAAATTTGTTGTGGTTTTGTGTTACGAGTATTAGGATGTTTCAACAAACATTTCAACAAATTGGCCTTTATACTAGATACGAATAATGCATCAAGACACATAATGCATCTATTACCTTATGCATCTAGTGTAAAGACAGGCAAAACATAAGGAAAATTTGACGATCTGATGCCTGCTGAGAGCAYGGGAAATGGGCCTGGCACTAGCATATTCAATAGGCAAAAATTCTAGGCTTTGTTCTWTCTTTGTCTGTTGCCCGTCTTTATACTGTCAGACCGATTATACTTTTAGATGACAAACTTCAAATAATTCGTCATTCAAGAGGCACTAAATAAAGCAGTGTGTGGAATGTATAATGCGTCTTTTGCCCATCTTCATAACCTACAAACTTCGCAAAAAAGTTTGCCCAACTTCGTCCAGGCACATTATGCTTCTCTAGTATAAAAATAGCCAATGACGGTGATGGTGTTAATGATTATGATGATGGTGGTGTTGATAACGGTGGTGGTTGCATGTTATGAGTATTCCGTTATGAGTATTGAATGTTCCAACCATTTAAGTTGTATTATATTAATGATAATGGTGGTAGTAGTTGTCGTGATGCTGATGCTGGTAATGATGATGATGATGATGATGGTAATGATGATGATGGTAATGATGATSATGGTAGTAGTGGTGGTTGTTTTCATTCACTGACCAAACAAACAAACATTACAATCTAAAATTTCAAGACAATTTGAAGCTGCCTTTAGTTGCTAAATTTTTATTCTTTTTCTTGCAGCATCGAAAAAGTATCTAAAATAGTCTCTCCCGTTCTTGTAATACATGGAACAGAAGACGAAGTTATAGATTTCTCTCATGGTTTATCTATTTACGAGCGCTGCCCAAGGACAGTCGATCCTCTATGGGTAGAGGGGGCAGGACACAACGACGTTGAACTTTATGGACAATACCTTGAAAGACTCAAGCAGTTCATTCAACAAGAATTGGTACATAATTAGTTCATTGGGGTCTAATTTTGTGATTGAAATTTAGGAAATTTAACTATTGTCATGTCGTACATGTATTCATCAGCCAGCTGAGTTGATCTTGACTCAAAACCTTTACTGCCATTACAGATAATAGGATTCTAGAATTCCAACAGATATGTCAGTAAAGTCAAATAAATTGAGCACCTCAATATCATAAGTAAGGCAAAGTTTCTCATCATAAAATTTGACACATTGACACACAATAAATGATGTACTATATTTTCTTCAACAATAATTGAAACTTTGCCACCTTACTCGCATAAAGAGATGCCCTTTTCATTTCTCTTTTGTTATTTTGACACACCTGCTCGATTTAAGGGGATAGGTTCACATAACATGTTGTTGCACGGTACAAGTTGTTTATTGTTATCATAAGGAACAACTGCTACAACAAATAGATTTTTTTTCTCTTCAAGATTCAAGATCAAGTCAATTGGAATCATTTTGAAATTGAACTGATGTTCAAACAATTAAGACTCAAATATTATAATCATTTTCCAACCTCTGAACATTCATGCCAACCACGTATGAAGGCGCAATTTTGCAGTGCAATTTTCTCTTCAACTTGTCTCGCAACGGCATTGTGACACAAGTTGCAGCAATCATGAAAAGTAGAATTTGTTTCTACTTTTGAAAGCAATTGCTCCTCCATTGCACAGTGTAAACACAATTGCAACTTGTATCTCAAAATTATCGCTCCATGTACTTGCGCCTTAAGACAATGTTCATTCTCGAAATCATTAATATTTCTGTGGACAGAACCCATAGCTTTGCACAATGTTATTAATATAATATATTTTATTGTTACTAGTAATGATCCTATGATTTTGAATTTCTCAGCGTGTGGGATTTGTTGTGTTCTTAGTTTTAATAGAGTCCTCAAGTGAGATGCTAGCGCTGCTAACTTGCTCTTATTATTTGCCATTTTGAAATTTAAACCGAAAATACTTCATTTATAATAACTTAACTCAACTTAAAGTGCTACTATGACGAAAATCGCTCAAACTTGGATTCAGCTGAAACTTCCTAAGAATACTCTTTAAAGGTCCAATAATCACTGTATGAAGTGTTTTCTCGATATTCAGGACGAAAGTATGATATTTTTACGATTATTTTTTTAAGTCTGTGACGTCATACACTCAACATCGAACATCGCTGCATACATTTCTTTGTAGTTTATGATCAAAATATCAGTAGTAAAGGGAGAAAGAAATACCCAAACACCCCAAAATATWAATTATAKTCACAAGTAATGTGAAATAAGCACATTAGCCACCCTTTGGGCTTCATAGGAATAAAATAAATTAAGGATTTATATACAAAGAAATATATGTAGGAATGTTTGATGTTGAGTGTATGACGTCACAGACTCCAAAAAATAATCGTAAAAATATCATACTTTCGTCCTGAATATCGAGAAAACACTTCATACAGTGATTATTGGACCTTTAAAGAGTATTCTTAGGAAGTTTCAGCTGATTTCAAGTTTGAGCGATTTTGTCATAGTAGCACTTTAAAAAGACCAATTCATTTGGAAAAACACATTGTAATAGGTTAAAATTAGGAATCTGTTAATAATTATTATAAAACAATTTCAAGTTAACAGAACTATAGAGTTAAGAACTAAAAGATTAAAAGACTTTGTATTGAAAAGTTTATGTTTGAAGACCAGGTTTGTTGCTACTTTGGACTTTAAACTCCAGATTCTCTGGCAGCAGCATGATAAAGTGAAATCATAAAGATTTTTAAACACTTTGTGACATTCACACTTTAAGACTCTATATATGTATGCTCTTGTAACAAAAATTTTTATCATCAATATGGATTAAAAGATAAAATAACATATAAAATGTATTTTTTCATTTACCAGGCCAAACCTTCAAAGTCCATMAGTGTTGTCTGATCTGAACAACCAAACAAACATCATCTGGTCAATCAATCGAGAATCAATTCAAGTKTAAATACATGCACTTTTTTTTATCCACTGCACATGAATTAAATCACAAAAAATTGACATTTATAAAACGAGTAGAGGATGTTAGTGCAAGTTTATCAAATTCGGAATTTGGTTAATGTCTAACAATAACAAGTCAATTTTGTTTTATGGGATAAGTAAATTATTCTAGCAGACTTTCGAGGTATAGAAGACAAGACATTGAGAAGATTTGGTCGCAGAAACAAGGCAATAGTAATTTGCACTCATTCTGTTGTAACACTTCATGYTTGTTTTGAATGACTTGCACAGGTTTGAAGTCATATGGCAACATAGGTTATTGTTGGATGTCAATCAAGGTCTTTACACAACATCAACAGGATTCAAATGCCTTGATTGTCGGCATGTGCCCTTGAAAATTTCAAGGACGCATGCCGGCCAGGCTGTGGAATGTCACAGAAATGCCTTGTTCCACCTCCAGTAAAACCTTCTTTGTCATGACAGCCAATTTCACGATTCATCTCATTCTAGAGAACTAAGTTGAACTTAAATCACCCAAGTATACTAAATTTACCAAGTAATAAYAATCTCTTAAGGCTAATAATTTATTTACATAGTACACAACTGTCATGCACAACATGCCTACGTTAATTTTTAGCTGGTTGACAGTTGCAAATCACCCTTAATGTTGCCTTCTGCAGCATGTCAGTAARTGGAGTCAGGGGAAGCCTGCTGCCAAGGACTCTGCACTCAATTCGTCTAAATTGGCCAATTTTCAAACTTAGAAATATCTAACATAGATTCTACTCATCATCTGCCTAATTCCATAAATTATCAATTTTGACACATTTATTTGCCGAAAATCATCCTCCCTACACGACTTTCAAAAATGGCCGCCAAACTTGGTTTGGACTAGGGACAATTAAATGGAAGCAAGGTACGTAAGGCCCAATTCGTAAACAAAGTCTACTCAGTATGATATTTTGTGTCAAAGTCATTCACCCTTATTTCAATAGACGCTTAAGAGAACTCGAATTGGTGAAATGAATGACTTTGACACAAAATATCKTATTGAGTAGACTTTGTTTACTAATGAGGCCTTACTTACCTCGCTTCCATTCAATTGTCCCTAGTCCCAACGAGTTTGGTGGCCATTTTTGAAAGTCGTGTATGATGTACAAAATAACCTAGATGGGTTTCAGAGGCTCTCTCACTTCAGTGAGAAAGGTTACTAAACCTACAAGGCACTGGCATGAGAGAACCTGACCTGGAACCCTGGGGTATGTGTATTACACGGCAAATTTTTGTCCAAGATAGACATTATTWTATTAACTTTATAAGTTTACATTCATTCCCTTCTCTGTATAGTGTGTCATATTAAAGTGTTGGGGAAATTCAAAAATGGGGAATTTCTTAAACTATTTTATAGTTCAAATTAATAAGTAGAGTAATGTAGTTGGGGTATTTTGTTTTTCTTTTAAAGGTCACTTCACATTGTGTAGTTCCAGAAATCATCCATACCCACCCCACAGAGGMATTTGGAATTTCCGAAGAGTAGGGGGGTCAGAGAAAGAACAAAAATTACAGAGTTTGTATGGAAGAAAAATTGGAATTTCCAGGGGGTAGGGGGGGTGTCTTAAAAAAATTCCTCCGTGAGAGGGGTATGGATAATTTTTGGAACTACACATTCACTGCACTTGAGTAATATTAGCAAATACTTCAGCGTGGAATTCTCCGTTGAACAGGGTTGGCCTCAATTTTGTACAGAATTATATTGAATGTTCATGTGTTCCAGTTAAGCTCCATGGAATTTCAAAGTGTTTGTATTGTTGAAGTTGTGCATTCTTTACTTTACTGTTGGTATTAGTGAATATTTGGACACTGAAATGAAGTTAACCCGGTATAAACAAGTCTGTAATCAAGGAACACAGCAGTATTTGACTAATTCAAAATATTATCAATTAAGGGCTTCATATTCAAATATGTTTTACAGAGTGCAAACAATATAACCATGAAACTTTAGTTATACTAAATAGCACAATTTCATGCAAATTCCATTGTTTTCTATTGTTTAATTAGCACTATTTTGTACTATTTAGTAATTAGTGTTTCACGGATTAACAGTTTGCACTCTACTCTTATTTATATCTACATACTTATATTTATATAATGCAAAGGTATAGTGTTTTATTACACATTGAGGTTCAATATCAGTGTGATAAAGCYGTGAATAAAAACCATATCATTGAAGCAATATGACAAATTATTACCTGTTAAGAGCCTGAAATTTTTTTATTCGCTTGTTTTGTATATCATATCGCTCGCTGGCGGTCTCCCTCTTTCACGATATGATATGGAAACTTGTAAATAAAAATGATATCAGGCTCTTAACATGTGATAATCATTAGGTATGTGTAAAAGCTAGTGAAAGGTGTTTGTTAGTGGTATTGAAGTACCATATATGATGTACTACTTGATGCRAGGCTTGAAATTTGGTAACATATCGAACGTGCTCTATCATAGGTTGGATGTTCTAAATATGGCGACCAATTTGAATAGCTATTATTCTGGACTGACTAACCTTTCCTACGTGTAACAGCACTTCTGTGTTTTCATGTGAACTCAAGGCTAGTCTGTCTTGGGGGAGTACTCTGCCAGAATTTGGGTAGGGGCATTCCRCTGGGATTCTGAAAGGGGTACCCTGTTTAGAATAAAAAAACTCAAATTTGTAGACCCTGTTTATGACAAAAGATATAATTAATTGCACTGAGTTCCTGTTTCAATTATCATGTCATCTTGCGTGTCGTTTTTTTATGACCATAATAACCAGTTTCAGTCAACACGAAATGAATATGACAGGAAACTAAGGAAGAATTTAGAACTTGAAATTGCATACCCTGTTTATGACAAGAAGCTCAAAAAACCATACCCTATTCAGCGGATCATCCCCGTATAGTCCATATATGGGRGTWCCCCCCCCCCCCCCCGGTAGTCTGTTCACAACGATAATTATTTAAATTGGTTACCTTATTTTGATACAGTGTATGACATAATTTATTTTGTTTAATTCAATGAGAAATCTATTGGATATCCGACGAAGCAAACTGACAAAACTTTTTGCTAAAATGGTTTGCACATTACCATATTTAAATATTGTATGTTCACAACAAATTAATTAGCAATGAACCTAATTCACTTGKGCGTAATGTTTTGCCCATTTCAGACCATGTGTCATTCTCTTGAGAATAAGATTCTTTGTTTGAGTTGTATCCATATTCATGTGTCTTTTCATCCCCAACSGTTAGACAAAGAAATGATACTCTAGGGAATGACACGTGGTCTGAAATGGGAAAACATTGGATTAGGTCTGTAGATTACCATCAGTTAAAAAATAATTATTAATAATATAATAATTATAATGATTTATAATAATTATAATAATCAATTAAAAATTAATTTGATTGACAGTAGTCTATGTACTGTTTAAAAGACGAGCAGGAGCGTTTTATCGGGTGTGAAACAYGAGGCGCAGCCGAGTGGTTTTAGACCCGATAAGACACGATCTGCGAGTTTATTAAACGGCTTAGAAAACTCATGATGTATGTTCTCATATTGTACAGAATACTTTACGAAATGAACCAAGTTTGATAGAGAAAATCCAAGTTAAAGTTTATGCAAATGAAGACAAATCTATATCAGATATAAAATCACCTTCATGGTCATGATTCCTATTGTGTTTTCTTCATGAATTATTAATGAGTTTTCTAATGCCCAATAAGCAATGAAAAAGCTTTTATAAAGGCTTAATGAATAAGTCTTTGGTGGAAAGAAACAGCATTATGTATTGAATGAAAAAGAGGACTTTTTCATGCTAATAGATAGGCCATTTCACGGAATCCGTTACTCAACCTCGGCCTCGTCAGCRTGTGATTATYCTTTAGAATTTGACTACAGTMCGCAGTAATGAAAGGAATTTACACATCAACGAACAATTAAAACATTAAAAAATTTCACAGGTTGTAGGCAATTTCTAAAGAATATATTACATACTGACGAGGCTGAGGTTGAGCCACGGGATCTGTGAAATGGTCTATTGGGGGGGGGATGAATAGCAGCATCCTCACCATCCTTTGCAGCTATTGTTATTGTCAGTCTAAAGTTGGGCTGCAAAGGAGGCTACTAAACACCCCACTTTATGACGACCCTAAGGACGTCCTCGTAGGAGGCTAGACAATAGTCCGACAGGGAAAACATTGATCTAAATTTGTTGTTATTTATTCTAAAGTTGGTGTAATGGAGTTGTTCAGCTCATGATATGGTGCAGAACGCAAGCAGGCTGCGGCATGTTGAAGCTGAGTGATGGCGTCAGGACCCACTTTGGTGCACTCCTTCTCCAACAACACAGCAAGAGCCTCCAGTAAATCCAAGAAGCAAAAGCAAAGAGCTGCACGCCGTAGCCTATTTAATTCCTGAAATGAAATTAAAGCAATTTTTTACCTATTTTTGTTAGCTGTGGTGCAATGTATGCTGGTCTCTCAAATATACTTCRTGTGAAACTATGTAACAGGGGGAGGGGCTAAACTCAATTTCAGCTAAAGCGTACCCCTGCATCCCTCACTAAGTCCCCCCTGAAACCACTCTCACAACAAGGATTGCTTTTCTCAAATGTGCAAATCTTTACTCAAAAACTTAAGGTTTTGCAAGTATTCCCAAGAATGTCCAAAGACATGGCGGCCACAGTTGGTAGAAAGAAAGGTAAGGCGAAATCCCACGAGTATTAGCTGTTCCGAGGTTAAGGAAAAAAYTGGTCGAGTCGGCATTGCAGTGCATTGTGGGGCTGTTTTAGGGGAAACATCTTACGTACRTAAGTTGGTGTCTATTTCATCGGTTATTACCATGATGCACTGTAAAGCCAGCTTGGTCCATTTTTTTTGCATCCTCAGAATGGATAATAATTAAGACAGCTTAACATGCAAATGAAAAATATTATTGAGGGAAGGGGGAGTGATAAAACTAATCAATCACCAGCTGAATTGACCGCCTTTCCCGAAAGAGATTATGGGTCAACTATTTTTGGTTAGCATTTTCTTGGCAGGGGCTGAGTACAATGTAGATTTTTCACGCTGATTGAACTAGAATTCCACCATATGAGTTCAACTAGTAGCATTTACGATAAATTTAAAGAATGAAAAATTCATATTTCATGGGTTTTCTTGGCAGAATCATGCGAAATGCTTATCGAAGTATGTTGTTGAATTCTCAATTCTGATTAGTTGACTGTGAGTTTGTTCTAAAGGTCAACTCAACTGGCAAGAGAGAGCATAATATGTGTCTGTTACCTCGGCTAGTCTCATAGGCGGTTAACTGGGGAGCACAGGTGGTGTAGCAGTGAGAATGCTTGCCTCTCATAAATGCGACCCAGGTTCGAGTCCTGCCAGTCTTGGTGTTGTTTGTGAGTAGAGTTGTTTGTTGGTTCTCTACTGTGCTTCAAGGGTTTTCCGGGCTCTCTGGTTTTCCTCCCTCCACAAAAATCAACTCTTAAATTCCAACTTGATCAAGGAACAAAGGCCACAGGTTTGTTAAGTGCTAACGTCATTAAAACTACAACAGTGTTTTCTTAAACAGTCCTTCTTTCCCCTCCAAACTCAGTTTCGTCAGGTTCATTTCCCATCTTCCCGTCAAAGACAAGACAAAACCTAGAGGGACTGTTAACAGTCAGCCAGTCTTGATGTCTTGTAGCSAATTTTCATTTATCAGTCTTTTATGATACTGTGATATCTGAGTTGTTTATAACTAAACTGGTGATCAGGTACGTCTAGGCTTCATTGTTTCTGATTGGCTAGATTAAATTGCTTCCATTGTCTAGTGTGAATAACTAAGGCCTAGGGCAAACGTCAAACTTTCCATGCACCGAACTTAATTACATCAAAGAATGCCGCCTCATTATCRCCYGATATCCATTGTTTTTAATGAGTTYGGTGCATGGAAAGTTTGATGTTTGCTCTAGGCCTAACTATTTCTTATCGTTTGGTGCAAAATACCTTGAAGAACTGTGCTTGYTTGTCTGGAAGTCGTTTGGCATACCGAAGAAGTTTCTGCACATCGGACTGAAATAAGAAATAAAAAATATYTTAACTCAAAGAAATCTTACCTGGCCAGTGAAATAATGGTCAGTRTTTGATCACCATTTGGAATAGCCTTCGTAGCGGCCCAAATTGGGGGAGGGGGAGGGGGAAAGGTGTGGGGGTCGTGTGTTTGGGCYGCTATGCAGGCTACATTTGGAACTGTTAATGAGATTTAGAGACTTTTATCAGCTGATTGAAGCCCAGCAACTTTCTAAAAGAAGATACTTTGATTCATTACTAATTTTTATTTACCTGTAATCCACTKGGCTTAATCCAGGCAACATTTGCTTGCGAGTTGTAACTCCTCCTTTGTGAAGGTGGAATAGGAAATGGTGTYTCTTCTGTTTCTTCATCTTGCCCAAGTTTATAAGGGTTTGTGTTCATTTCAGCCGAAGGTCCAAGTCGATTAAAATCCCCTAGCCATGAGATGTGTGTTCCAGGAGCAAATGTCACAAGGACRAGGTTGGACTTCTTCTTGCTGTCGGCCCAGGATTGTAAGAAACCAAACCAGTCCGTGCTGGAAATAAATAGTGTGAAACATCAGAGGCAGATCTAGGGAAGGGGTGCAGGGGGAGCAAAAGCTCCCTAGATAAGCTGATATCCACTGGATCCGCCCCTAAACATCATTGAATTTTACATTAGAATTTTTTGCCTAGATAAAATAGCATCATTTAACAAATGGACATCATTTGTTTATGTGTCTGTCCTCTTATTGACGATAAATTGCATCATCACATTGTCAAAGTAGTGTGGATTCATGAGGCGTAGCCGATGGATCCGCATACTACTTTGACAATGTGATGACAAAATTTATCGTCATTAAGAGGACAGACACACAAAAAAACGATGTCTATTTATTTTTTACGATGACAAAAAACGATAAAAACATCTCATTTTTAGCAATCAAAACGACCAACAGAAAGAATTCGTGCTGGTTGACATCAGCTTTATCGGTCTGTCCTCTTATGGATGATGAAAAATAACAAATCAGTGCATGAGAAATTTGCAAATTATTGTAAAAAGACACAATGACTTAAAGGTACAGCAAAGGCAGTATTCTTTAGAACAATCTCTTAAAAAATGAATATGGAGCTGGAAAAGATCTTTCACAACTGGAGACTTACTCTAACTGAACAATAGCAATCATCTTTTCAACTTTCAAGCTTCCATGCAGTAGAACACAAAATGACGGAGCTTTTCCGCTATCTAAGTCTTGTTCCTTGGAAGCATCTCCATTAGCGACAGTATTTCCATTCTCTGTTCCCGTTATCGGTATCACAAGATGCCGCGACATACATGGTGGACTGCTTGTATCCATAATGTCCAAAAATCCGCAGATTTTTATYTCATTTGGAAACCTACAAAGTTTTGCGTTTGTTTTTTGCTTCCTGTATTTTTCAAGAATTAAATTCCAAGAAATTGAGAAATCAGGTGGAGGTGAAAGCATAATATTYGATTTCAAATGCCCACAGCTAAGAACACCTTCGTAGTTCATGTAATGAGTTTGTGCAAGCCTTGTAAAGCAGTTCTGTACAGATTGCACTGAAAGGGGTGCATCTGGAACATATACGCTGCCACCGCCTCCATTCATGTCGCATAGTTGCTGAAAAAGCATCAAGTTWGGTGCYAGTTCYGTCTGYRTATTGATACACACGACATGAAGTTTACTGGGAAATGGAAAGGGAAGAGGACATGGAGTTTCCGTCATCCTGTCTGCCTTGCCGTCTAAGAGATCCTTTAGAGAACCATACCCCGACCCGATAGATCCGTCAGTCACCAGAATAACTTGAATGGGYACTGACGACCCCCATTCCTCTACCACGTGACCGGCCACACCCGTCAACGCATTTTCATAGCAAGTTTTATCATAAGCATCCACAGACATACAACCTTGCTTGAGCATTTCATAATCTCTCGTGAATGGCACCACAATTTCCCAGAGCGACGAGAAAGCGACCAAAGCTGTGAACTCCAGCTTGAATTTACTGGACAAAAAGTCGAATAAAGTATACAAACCGCGAACGGCAAGATGGCGTCGCTGTTGGCTCTCTGTCTCATTCGGCGTTTGAACCTGTCTCATCATGGACAAGGAAACGTCAAGCAACACTACAGTAGGCATRTTTAGCGTTCTAATTCAACTACTCGGCCCTATTTTTACGTTATTCTTTACAAAATACAAACTTTTTCAAGTTCTCAAACGAAGTTTTTCCTTTCCAACGGAGTCTAGCGGAGTACTTCATGGACTCGTTAATCATCAATACTTTTTAAAATAGATAAAGAAAATAARAACCTATGAAGTATTAGGCTGATGAGTAGGGAGAGCCCGCTTTCCAAGTTTATCGCGGGCAGCCAAGTCGTTTTTACACTACAAAAAAAAACACAGGGAGCCCATGCTTGGTTCTTGTGCCATTAAACAAAACCTGTCGCGTGGAATGGAAAGTCTGGCACA